AAGGGAAGGGAAGGGAAGGGAAGGGAAGGGAAGGGAAGGGAAGGGAATGCAAAGAACTTGCAGGGTATCTAACTTGACCTCCTGAACCTAAAAGTCATTAAGGAGTTTACTTTTCTTCTCCATAGTCCTTTGGAGGCCTGGCAGCCACTGTGCTACAAATGAGCTGTTTCTCTCACTCATCCACACCATGTGGCTCCATTCTGTGTCTGCACCTGAGCTGATGTCAGTCACTGACTGTCCCCACTACGGAGTGGCGGGGATGATAGCTAAAGGAGACGCATGGGGTGTTAATACTGCCTCCAACAGGAGCAGATGGGGCAGGCATTGTCTTACATTACTGCAATGCTGGATCTTCAGAGGCCAACACACAGATTTGGAGGATGTGTAATCAAACAGAGAAGGTTTTTGTGAATGATCCCAAGGCTCTGCTACCGCAGCCTGGACTCTTCCGGCTTCTCTGACAGGCCTGATCACGGGGCACAGCAGGAAGCATCTGAAACTCAAAGTCAAAGGACACAAGTTGCTGCCCTGGGTTGCTGCCAGAAACTTGCATAATAGGCATATGAAGAAACTCGTGCCTCAATTTATGTTCAAAATAAGAATAACATCTGTTCTATCTAAGGTTGAGAAATTTAAATTATAACTTATTTTATACAGAATTTGGAGTTTGGAAAATATACCCTTTTTCCACCTATGGGTCAGTTTATCAGCAAACTTTGAAAACACTGATGATGACCCTGACTTCTGGCCTTGATACGGTAACTCCCTTGCCCTGCATCTTATCATAAGGGGAAGGATGAAGGTCAATTGTATTTAAATTCTGCTAGAATCCTGAGCAATACCACCAGTAAAACAAAAATTAAACAACACAATGACTAGAAAGGAAAAAGATGGGCCAGCAAGATAGCTCCGCAGTCTAAAGCACCTGCTTAGGAAAGCTTAGACAAGCTTAGGCAAGCTTAGGCAGGCGCAGGGGACCGCGGTTCAATCCCAGGCACCACATGCCACACCAGCCTCCCAAAAAAGAAAAAAAAGACAAATCTGTTTTGATTATTTCCACATAACATGATGGCCTATTATTAAAATAATTAAAAATAAATATAAATTACCAGAATTAATACAAGAGTCTACCAAAACTTTTTAAGAGTAGGAAAATTTACTGGAGAATAGAAATGGGAATAAGAATATCTCCTGAGGGACAGGAAGAGTTCCAAATGAGTGGTCCCTACCAAAATTTCTGAACATAAAACCAACAGAAAAATTTTAATTCATTTCTAATTAGCAATAGTTATAAAATAAAATTTAAAAAAGACCTTGACCACGATGCTATTAAGAATATGAAGTGCCTAGGAGTAACCCAACAAAATAAGTATGTGATATTCGTGGAGGAAATTATAAAATTTTATTGAAACATATTAAAGAAGATCTAAATAAATGGAGAAATCCACCACTTCGTGGATTAGAGGCCTCAACCTTATAAAGATGTCATTTCTCTCCAAATTGATTTATAGGCTCAGTAAAATCTCAATTAAAATCCCAATAGGTTTTTTTGTAGAACTTGACAAGCAGGCTCTAAAATTTATATGGCAGTGCCAAGGGCCAAGAGTAGCTAGTCTTAAAAAAGTAAAGTGGGAGAACTTGCTCTCTCAGACATAAATAATTATTATAAAGCTATGGCAATTGAGATAGTGTGATTTGGGCACTAGGACTGACAAATAGATTAATGGCCTGGCACAGAGGGGCCACAAACAGACCCTTACCTTTATGCACATCTGATATATGGCAGAGATGATAGCTCGGATCAATGAATAAAGAGATAGACCCTCAATAAATAGTGTGAAAGTAATACTCAATTCTTATGAATTGAGTACTCATAAGAAGAAAAATGGAGTTAGACACTCACTGTGCACGGCACACAAAAACCAACTAAGGCTCATTAACAAAGCATACATGAAGGGTAAAACTAAAGATTTAGAAGGTGATACCACAGATATCTTCCTAACCTTGGGTGTAGGGAAGATTTTCTTAAATCGGACACAAAGTCCACTAATTGTAAATGAAAGGTTTATAAATCTGAATATATGACAGTAAGAATGTCTATTGCAAAGACAGTTTAAGAGTCTGAAGAGACAATCCACAGAATGAGAAATGATATTAGAACATATAAAACTGACAAAGTCCTGAGATCCAGAATTTATAAAGAACTACTGTGAATCAAAATGAAAATAAAGAAAAGCAGCAGAATATCTGAACAGACCTTTATAATAGCAAAAATCCCAAAGACCAAGAAACCTATTTCTCATTAGGAAAATGTAAATTAAAGCACAAAAGGTGACATTTGGGCAGCATCCAGGGCCTTGACCAACAGATGCTCTCTATCCTTACAGTGGACATACAACTAGGTTCCCCATCCTGCAAATAACCTGGCATTAACTAGAGGAGCTGTATCTGTTCATGTCCCCTGTCCACCGATTGCACTCCTAGGCCTATATCCAGAGAAAATAGGGCATATGCCAATTCCCACACTCACACATATACATAACACACACGCATGCACACACATTCTTAGCAGCCTTGTTCAGATCAGCTTAAGTGTTGTTTTTTTGGGTGGAATCAGGAATTGAACTCAGGCCCTTGTGCTTGCCAGGCAAGTGCTTATTCTACTGAGCCATCTTCCTGCCCTCAGCTTAAGTGTTCTGAATTAGAAACAACTTAAGTGCCTGGGGCCTGGTTCCCATCTGGAATACCCCCAAAGCCCTTGTACACCCATAAGTGGAGCTTTCAAAAGGTTGTTGAATCATGGGGAGTCATAATCTGACTTCTTAGGAGTTGGGGTCTGGTCAAAAGATCCAAGTCACTGGGGTATATCTAAAAGGGTACCTCTCTCCCAGCTTGCTCCCTCAGCTTTCTGGTTCCTGGCCACCATAATGTGAGCAGCTTTTCTTCCTCTGTTCCCCTCTGTAATGCTGTTCTCTACCTTGCAACTTGTCAAGTATGAACTTAAACTTGGGCCAAAATAAATCTCTCTTCCTTTAAGTTATGGGTGTAAGGCATCATATCTTAGCAAGAAAAAAAGTACTCTAAGATACTCAGAAACACAATAATAAATAAATAGGCATATACAGCAATAAAAATAAGCCAATTTACAGTTATAGAAATTAATGTGAATGGTTCTCTTAATAATCTAGGTGAAAGAAACAAGCAAAGAAAAAAAGATCTTTTTATTCCCTTGATATAAAGTTCAAAAGTAGACTGTATTATTTAGTGATGCTTTAATGGGTAAAAAAGAAAACCAATGGAATGATTAGTTTGGGGGTCAGGATAGTTTTTGTTTCCAGGTGGAGACAGTAGGGTATGATAGTTTAGACCTGGAATATTCTTCCAAGGCTCATGTTTTGAAAGTTTGGTCCCCAGCATGGATAGATGGTGGAAACTTCAGGAGACAGGACCTACTTGCAGGAAACAGATTATGGGGATTGATTTTGAAAGGTACTTTCGCCTCCAGTTACTTTCCTTCTCTCTCCACTTCCTGGCCTTCTGAGGT